CGTGCTCTCTCTCTCTCTCTCTCTCTCTCTCTCTCTCTCTCTCTCTCTCTCTCTCTCTCCTAGCCCATGCCATCCCCACTATGTTGGGGTTGCACGTGTTCTATGGTGCACACGGTTCACAGCAATAGAAAAAAGAAGGAAGAAGAAGCGAGGGTGACAAGTGTAGGGGAGAAGGAGAGGGATGTGAGGGAGGAGGAGGAGGGAGAGGTGGTTGAACATGCAGCTGGAATCGAAGGCGATGGTGGCTAAGAAAAGGGGGAGATGGAGGCAGTGATAAGTTTGAAAGGACTTTGAACTTGCTGCATTTGAAGGTCTTTCGAACGTCCTGCAGCGCCGTACGCAAACCGACCCTCCGAGTCCAAGATCGATGGCCCAGATTGGGCCCTTCTATTTATGGGCCGTCGATCTTGGACATCGACGGCCCGGATTGTGACACAAAAGCCACAATATGGGCCGTCGATGTCCAAGAGCGATGGCCCAGATTGGACCCTTCTATTTATTCGGACATTGATGACCCAGATTGCGCGCTTTTATTTATTAAGACATCAGCGGCCCGGATCGGGCCTTTTATTTTGTTGAATTCTTGGGCCCTCTGTTCTCGCATCTGTGGCGCTGTGGATGCGCCCTGTTTACCCACGGCCTCGGATTGCATTTCCGTTTCCTGTGCACATTTTTGCCAGGGCCCGGACGAGGGACGTGTTTTCGCCGGGGTCCATCCCACCACATCAACCCGGGCCCGGACGTGTTTTAGCTGGCTGAGTCCATCCCACCAGATGAACCCGATATTCGTGGCCCGCCGGATATCCAGCTGTTTTGGCGGGAATGCCTGTGTGCCAAATGCGTTGGCATGTGCACTTCTTCCACACAAACAAAAGCACTGCAAATTCAAGGCACAACATCCCCATCAAAAAACCAGAAAAGTATTAAAAAAAAAAAAAAAAATTAACAAAGAAAAAAGAGACCCCCCTGAAAGTGCCCAACAAACAGGTTGAACTGGGATAGGCGCGGTCATGGGTATAGCGGCTATAGCCGAATGGTAATACCGTAGTACTCAGGTGCGGCCCCCTGAAAGTATGTGAGTATGTGACTATTGCGGTCAAAAAGAAAAAACGTAATACGGGATGGATGAAGCACTGTACGAGGTCATAACAGGCTAGCGACAGCTGTTGTGCGGCCTCAGGTGCGGCCAGTGGAACTGTTAGGGACCCCCACCCCCCCCGTGTCCCCACCATTCCTGTTAGGTTTACACCCTGCTGTGTGACTGGATGCTGCTAGCAAGCAAGCCTCCTGACCAGCAGGGCAACCTCCTAAGGAAGGCCACGGACTGGGGAAGGGAAGCCCTGAAACAGTCCCCCAGTTGCCAGGCACCTAGTGTCACAAGGGATGGCCTGACCTTCTTTCTCGCCTCCTCCCCGCCCCCCCCTCATCTCTTGGATGTAAAAACATGGCCCCTGGCAGGGGGGGGG